TGTACTATAAAGATAAAAGACACCAATAACATTCTAATTACAAAACTATATGAAAGGATATGTGCCTATATGTATGTATATATGTTGACACATATACATTCATATGTCTTTGGTACTTCATAGTTTCCAAGGTACTTCCACTCCATTATCTCATTTGAAAGTAGAAAGAAAATCAAGAAAAGAATGACAACAGTAAGATGACATACCAAAATTTGTGGGATGTAGCCAAAGCAGTACTAATGGGAAAATTTATATTTCTAAATGCATATATCAATAAAAAGGAGAAAGAGTAGATCAATGAATTGGGCATGCAACTAAAAAAAAAAAAAACAACTAGGAAAAGAACAAATGAAAAATTCCCAACACCAAAACAAAAATCCACAAAATCAAAGGAGAGATTAATAAAATTAAAAGTTAAAAAAAAGTCACGGGACAGTTAGGTGGCTCAGTGGATAAAGCACTGGCCCTGGAGTCAGGAGGACCTCAGTTCAAATGCGGCCTCAGACACTTGACACTAGCTGTGTGACCCTAGGTAAGTCACTTAACCCCCATTGCCTCACCAAAAATAAATGAGTAAAATAAAATAAAATAAAATCCAACATAAAACTAGAGGCTGGTTTTATTTAAAAAAAAAACTAGATACATAATTGGTTAATTTAACTTTAAGAAAGAGAATCAGGAAACAGAGATGTGAGTTTAAATCTGCCTCAGATACTATGTTACCCTGGGTCCATCACTTCACCTCTGCATGCTTCAGTATCCTCATTTGTAAAATGGAGATAATAACCTCCCTCGGCTATTGTGAGAATAAAATGAGATGATATTGTAAAGCACCTTGAAAACCTCAATGTGCTATATTATTATTATTATTATTATTATTATTATTTTATGAGACTCCTTTATTAAGTCTATCCAAGGGCTCTGTACCTAGATGATACTCAATAAACACTGAATGAATTAATGAATGAGCACACTAATCTTTATTGGACACAGTTCTTAGCTTTCAAAATGAAATATTAATTTAAAGCAAATATCATTCCAGTTTGTTAACACTCTGAATTTGTGGGTAGATATGGGCAGTTGGGGGCATCTAGCTGTCTTTATAACATCAAGATAGCTCTGGTGCATTGCTGCACATAGCTTCCAATTCAAAGCCTCAGGAAAATACGTCCTGGGAGTATTTAATGATCTGCATTTTAAAACATATTTTAAAAACTAACAGTTGAAGAACACATTGAGTATTGCTTTTGTCCGTGTCTCCTAAGTAGGGAAAGACCAGACATCTGTGTGCCCTAGACAAGATTTGAAAACTATGACCCCTATGGGTTATTGCCTGACAATGCCTTTGAACCCTGAGAAGAGAAATGGGCACCAAATGAACACTTCTTCCAAAGGAAGTAGAAATTCCTGGTAATAAAAAAAAAAAATGAGCATGGATAAAAGTCCTAGAAAGTGGTCTTTATGCCCTTCTGTGGGAGGTCCCCTGCCTGCCATACTTGCCCCCAGCCATGATAACCTGATGTGCTAATTTTATCAGTGTGGGAAACGCTAAGCTTGAAAACTTCATTGAACGATGCAGAGCAGAAACTCATTTATAACTTAATAGACTTAGATAGTTGAGCAAACTGTTATTGATTCCAATTCCTGCTGAACCCTCCATCCTGGAATTGCAATATGGCAAAACATAAAATGTCAATGTAAAAGGTTTAGAATATTAGCGCCCGAAGACAGCTTGTAGATTACCCAACCACTTCCTTTTGCAGGAGAAACTGAGGCCAGTAGTTCTGGAATGTAGGCATGGCTTAAGCATTTCATCAAAAAAGCAGCTTTTAGTTTCCTAACTCATTTTCTCAGGCTTCAGCTGAGTACATACAAAAGTGTTTTGGTGGCAGTAAGGCCATATGCTTGTATCTTCCTTTCTATATGCGTCTCTCTAATATCATACTCTGTGTCTTTGTGGGTTTTTTCCTTCCTTTGTGGTAGCAAAGCTATGAGTTCCTTTTAGAACTCTTAAAAATGCTGGGTATCGCTGAACATTTTATAGCCACAAATAAACATTTATGGCATATATCTTACAGATGTTTGCTTTTTGATTCTTTAAAATGAAAACATCCCTTATGTTCTATAACTTTAAAAATGTTTCTTTAAATTTTAGACATTACAGAAACGTTTCTAAATTCCTTGAGCTATATCTCTGTATGTGTCCATTTAAGAGGAAACTTAGCCCAGGGGAAAGACAGTGGGCCTTGGAGTCAGGAAACCTAGTATTCAAGTCATCCTCACACAGAGACTGAGTAAGATCTTGGGTACGCTCAAGCAGTACCCTCCTGCCTTCAAGCAATTCTTGAGGACTGTTAAGTTATGGCAAAGCCATCTACATCTGGTAGAAAGGAGAGATTTCTGGGATGAAATTACAGATCTGGACCAAAAGAAATGTGCTCACTCATACACTTCAATATCTGATTGTTTCTTACATTTAAACTTCCTCCAACAAATTAGAAGCTATGAAATTTGGGGGGAAATGATTTTGAAAACATGGGCAATAGCTAACATTTCTATGTAAGACTTCAAGGTATGGGAAGCTGTTTACATATATTATCTGATTTTATCCTCACAACAACCCTGGAAAATAAGTGGTATTACTGTGGTCATTTTACAGATGAGTTAACTGAGACCAATGTAAAGTGATTTGCCCAGGGTCACAAAGCTAATAATTCTCTGATACAAGATTCAGATTCAGGTTTTCTTGGTTTCAACTCTAATGATGATACAACCAACGGCATCAGATATTTCTTTAAAGTTATTAAGAAGGCATTAGATTTTTCCTTGAACTAATTATGAAATACTCCCATTTTCAAGGCACATGGTATATAACCTGACTCAAGGTGATTTTTTTTTTTGCCTTTAAGTTAAGAAAATAATAAATGTCATACTTTAGAGAAAACACACCCTAATCGCTCTATTTGCCTGGGTTATACAGAAATTAATATTTCATATACAAATACTTGCAAACCAGCTGCTCTTTCATGGGCTCTTACATAAATTGTCTTCACGGGCTTTTTTTTTTTTCTTTCTTATTTCCTTTGTTAGCTTGGGATTTTGAAAGATAGTCAATTACTTAAACTGTGATTTCAATATCAGATTCATTTAGAAATCTTTTCCAGAGTATAAGGCCACTCAGGGGTTAACCGAGTAATAAGGCAAATTTGTCTCGTCGATAGTTAAGAACAGAATTGAATCTTCCGGCCAAAGTCAGTGCCGAGATGGGCCAAAAGAGCCGTCTAAGGTCCTATCCGGCTCGAAACCTGGGATTCTCAGTCAGACCTTAGGAAAGAAAGGTGCAGAGCCTGGTCTGGGTAGGGTAGTCCTAGCTTGGGTCTGCAGGCTCCTGCACTCCTCCAGGGCAAGCGGGCTTGGCTGTGGGCAATGCCAAAGCAGACTGAGAGGTATTTTTAGCCCCTATGAAGCTCGATGCATTTTTGGCTGTTGCCGTTGTCATGAGCATCTCGGTTTGGGGATCGCGTGTCCCTCCCTGGGCTGAGCCAGAGGAGGCTGGGCTGGTGTCACAAAGGTTTCCTGTGTGTCAGCAAATTTCTTTTTGCCTGTGACTGTTCCTTAAGACTTGTGCAATCAGGAGCAAGCTATCTGTAGGAACAGGCGCCGGAGCCCTGGCCGCGCAATCATCAGGCGGCCGCCAGGCAGCCAACTGCCTCTTCCTCCGCGCCCCCGGGCCCCCACCTCCTCTTTGGAGACCCCATCCCCGGCCGCGGAGCTCCAGTAAGCGTCCTCAGAGGGAGCTGAAAGAGACGACCCCCCCTCCCCACCCCGGCAAACCTCGCAGCCCTCTCGCCTCCTGGCTCGGTTCTTGCTCGGGTGGCGGAGGGGAGGGAGAGCCAGGAGGCTGGGCTGGGGCTCGGCGCGGAGGGAGGGCGGGAGGGAGGGAGGTAGAAGGGGAGGGAAGAAGTCTGGAAAGGAGGAAGGGAAGGAGGCAGAAAAGAAGGAAGGGAAGGAGGCCGGGAGGCAAGGAGGCACGCCCCTCAGCTCCCCAAGGAGAGCCAACTAGGGCTCCGCGGCGAACTCTGGCCCCCCGGCTCCTCCAAACTCCGCCCCCTGTTCGCTCGCTCGCGGTCTCGGTCTGTGCCTGGCTCGCTCTTCAGCTGTCTACGGCGCTGCCGCCCGGCGCCCACTGCTTGGTGCCCGGTGCCCGGCGACTCCGGCTTTGCTTCTGTGCGAAGAGCGACGGGAAGGGGCCGCTGCCGCCCTCAGGGGACGCAGCGAAAAGACAGACGGCGCTTGGACCCCCCCAGCTGCCCAGGGAGATGGGGGCGAGGGTCCCAGGTACCCCCGAAGCCGCAGCCGCCCAGCAGTTTCCCAGGTAGCGAGGGAGAGCGCGCAGAGACAAAGTTGAGCTCCCCAAAGAAAGGAGCAGCGGCTCCCCGAAGAGCCGGGCCAGGAGAGACCGGCTGAGAGGCGGAGGCAGAGACCGAGGCAGAGACCGAGGCAGAGACCGAGGCAGAGAGGGGCTGCCAGTGCGAGGCGTGCCCCCCGAGGCCCCGGGCAGCGGCCGCCCGGGATCGCCCAGTGCGGGGCGCACCGTCTGCCGGCGCCGTCAGGGCGTCCTTCCCCACGGGCGCCGAGGGCAGTTCGGGGGCCGCCTGCGCCCGCTCGGGCAATCGGCCCCGCCACCGCCGCCACCGCCGCCGCCGCCGCGCCCTCACCAGCACCGAGAAGCGGCTGGCCCGGTGCCTGGCGCGAGGCGGAGCGCGGTGGGGCGGGCGAGTCCGATGGGAAGGCGCGGCCGCGCGTCCGGAGAGCCCGGCGCGGCCCATGAGGGCGAGCGAGCCCCCCACGCCCCGTCGCCCGCGCCCTCTCCGCTCCCCGGGCCCTCCTCCTCCTCCTCCCCCTGCCCGGCTCCCCCGCGCCAGCCCTGCCTCCGGGCACATGCCGCTCGCTGGCTCTCCGTTGCCGCCGCCGCCGCCGCCGCGTGATTCGGGCCAGCCATGACCGACGTGCTGTGGTCAGCGCTCCCCAACGGGACCGAGGTCCCTCCCTCCCCGGGCTGGTCCTCGGGCAACGCCACGGGCACGGCCGCCAGGTGCTCGCTCACCAAGACGGGCTTCCAGTTTTACTACCTGCCCGCCGTCTACATCGTGGTGTTCATCACGGGCTTCCTGGGCAACAGCGTGGCCATCTGGATGTTCGTGTTCCACATGAAGCCCTGGAGCGGCATCTCCGTGTACATGTTCAACCTGGCCCTGGCCGACTTCCTGTACGTGCTCACCCTGCCCGCGCTCGTCTTCTACTATCTCAACAAGACGGACTGGATCTTCGGCGACGGCATGTGCAAACTGCAGCGCTTCATCTTCCACGTGAACCTCTACGGCAGCATCCTCTTCCTGACCTGCATCAGCGTGCACCGCTACACCGGGGTGGTGCACCCGCTCAAGTCTCTGGGGAGGCTCAAGAAGAAGAACGCCGTCTACATCAGCGCCCTGGTGTGGGCCGTCGTGGTGGCCGGCATCGCGCCCATCCTCTTCTACTCGGGCACCGGCGTCCGCATCAACAGGACCGTCACCTGCTACGACACCACCTCGGACGAGTACCTGCGGAGCTATTTCATCTACAGCATGGGCACCACCGTGGTCATGTTCTGCATCCCCTTCGTGGTCATCCTGGGCTGCTACGGGCTCATCGTGAGGGCGCTCATCTCCAACGACCTGGACAACTCGCCCCTCCGCCGCAAGTCCATCTACCTGGTGATCATCGTGCTGACTGTCTTCGCGGTGTCTTATCTCCCCTTCCACGTGATGAAAACGTTAAACCTGCGAGCCAGGCTGGATTTTCAGACCCCGGGAATGTGCGCCTTCAACGACAGGGTGTACGCCACTTACCAGGTGACGAGGGGGTTAGCTAGCCTCAACAGCTGCGTCGACCCCATCCTCTATTTCTTGGCGGGAGATACTTTCAGGAGAAGACTGTCGAGGGCCACCAGGAAAGCTTCGAGAAGAAGTGAGGCAAACCTGCAATCAAAAAGCGAAGATATGACCCTCAATATCTTATCAGAGTATAAGCAGAACGGAGATACGAGCTTATGAACTGCACACACGCAAAAAGGTTCCCAAACACCTCGTTAAAAACAGACAAACAATAAAATCCTATGGTGTAATGATAAACAGAGTCAGAAAGAAATTGAGGAGGGTCTAGGGTGGGGAAACCGTACCACTTGGCTGTCAAGTACTTTTTTAAAAAAAAAAATTCCTTTTATGAGTTTAGAAAGAATGTAAGAAATAAGAGATCAGAATATTCTGAAGCAGAGAGGGGGAGAGAGAGAGAGAAAAGGAGAGAGAGAGACAGAGAGAGAGAGAGAGACAGAGAGAGAGAGAGAGACAGAGAGAGAGAGAGACAGAGAGAGAGAGAGAGAGAGAGAGAGAGAGAGCCTTCCCCCTGTACTAAAGCCTTTTAGGTTATTTTTAATTGGATCACGGTCACTTTCCTTAAGGTTAAATATATTAAAACATTAAATAATTCAATTTATGCCATTTCAAAATTCTCCACTCTCAAATATACATATATGCACTCACTTTATATTTGGAATATTTTTGCATTTATAATTTCTCCTAAGATATATGACTGTCTTAGACTTTAGGTTGTGCACCTGTAGTTATTATTATAATTATTATTATATTTTACAATCCACATGAGCATCCTACTGATTTCCACCTCCTCCAAATATTTAGCATTAGCTCAAATCAGAAAGCAATTCTCCCAATTCTCTAGGTAGCAAGTGAGCTGGCTCCTGGACTTTTTTTTTTTTTTTTTTTTTTTTTGGTAAATGAGTGTAAGTTTCTGGCTGTCTTCAGTTGGAAGATGGCTAGAGATGTCATTGAGTTGAAAATCTTGAAAGGTGATGATTTTCTAAATCTAATTTTCAGGAAAACTGTTCATTATATTTTGGGTGTTAAATGTTTGGTGGTGGAAATCTGTATTAATTGTCATTGGATAAAGCACCCAATTTAAATAATGATAGCACATAGGTTTTGTTTCCTATGAAAACTTAAGGTCTTGGGATGTTTGAAATCTCCTTAAGTAAACATGCTGTTTATTGGCACTGTTGCTGTTTAATGACGTAGGGGGTTGTTTGTTTTCCTGGATGAATGCATATCCACATCTGTAAAAACATTAAAAAAAAAAGAAGCAACTCTGAACTGATGATTTACAAGGCAAACTGACTGAAGTTGAATGCACAAGTTAAGGCAAAGTGGATCTGGGCATTGTTAGTGTTTGAGGGTGATTGGCAGCCGTCCAAAATCTGCGTGCTCCAGATATTAAAAAAAAAAGAAAGAAATGAAGCCATGAGGCTGAAACTTAATTATTGTCATATAGGGATTGTAACAAAAGTGCTGGTAAAAGGGACCTTTTAATATTATCCTGGAATGTCTGAAACAGTAGGTGAAAAGGCATAAATTAAAGACTATCTTAAAGTTTTATAAATTCCATTTATAGAATGACAGAGTATGATCTGGCCTCACTGGTCCTCATTTTTAAAAATGGGATAGAAAATATTGTATTTAAATACATGAGGACATCCCTTAATAGTATGGCAAAGCAAGTTAAATGATTAATCATAGAAATACTTTTTTTTAACTACTTCACTTTAAAGAGATGGCTAATGGGGGGGTGGCATTTATACTACAGGTTTCCTCCTCTGGACATTAACCTGTCAAATGCTTCCGACTTCTCTAATAATGCTCATTCTGTGTTTTAACACATTTTGAATTCCCACTCAGGCCCAGCCCTGTGATATTTTTTTTCACTATAGTCAAACTGCATTGTACAACCTTATTGAGGTGAATATACATCCCCCAAGGATAGTTTAATAAATGTAGTTTTCAGAACGAAAATGAACAGTTTTCTCTAATGCATACACTTCAAGCAGAGGCTGATGTGGTCATCAGTCACTGTATTCTTTGAGGGTGTGGAACATAAGGTTAGATCTGGAGGTAAACATGTGGGACATAGAGTGATAGCTGAATCAATCCTGTATTTGAGCCATTGAATAACTTTTCAGAGCTGGGAGGACCCTTTGAGGTCAGCTAGTCCAAACCTCTCTCCTCACCGCCAGAGAGGAATGGCGATTCTCTTGGTTTGAAGGTTTGTCAAAGTCTTCCATGTGTCATTCGTCATCATCCATTTGTAGTTTTACACGGGGAAAACAAGTCACCAAAATACGCATAGCAAATCAGATATGGGTGAAATGGAAATATACATAGTGATGTTTCAAACCTCAGTAGATATTTGCTAAGTATCTTACAGCAGCAAATGGAGGGATTATTCCTATGATTCACGACAGGAGAACAGAACATAAAACACAAACTATTTAATGTCTATTTACCCTAGTGATCACTGAAGCCTTGTGTTGTCTGTAGCAACATTAAATACCTCAGTGACTGAAAAAAAAAGGAAGGCCCATGTCTGCCCAATAAGTGATGTGTCTCTAGTAGCCCAATTCTTCCATTTATGTTAGTGTCTTTTTAGATCACAGGATGTCCAGGCCTGTGCATCAGGCTGCTTTCCGTGCTAGCCTAATTGTATTGAAGATGTCAACTCTGCATTATTTCAGGTCCTAGAGGACTTCCTTTCAGAGTATTGTGAAGCTAGTAAAGGGAGTTGGGGGTGAATAGAAGTGCCCTTTTACTATTTGGAATGTTTCTTTCAGTTTCCTACTTCATACCTCTCATAGGAGACCATAATGACAAGTAAGGAATCATGAAACCATGCCAAAAAGTAACAAAAGATTATTTGGCTGACTACTTGCAGGCAGCCTCCATGGCCCAACAGGGATCTATGGGAGCTGTGTCCATCCAGTTTGAAATAAACTGGGGATCAGGTTGAAGTGATACATTCCTTTGGTTACAGCAGCGCCTCACAAACCTCCCAAAGCCTGAAAGGACAATTCGAGGGACCTGATGATGTAAGGTCTTAAATCTTGAGTGCGGCAACATGTAAGGTGTTGAGACAAGTGAATTTGTTAATGTGCTGTAATTTATGTTTACTCAAGTACTCAAAAGTGATGAAAAGTTCTGAACCCAGATGTTTCTCAGGACCAGAGTCGTCATTGCTGAAAACTTGCTGAATCTATTTGCTCCCTGACCTGAATGGGTAAGAAATTGAGAAGATTTGGAGTGTGGGTCAGGATTTCTAAATTCTAATCCTGCTTTGCCAGTCAGATAATCCCCTGTTGATTTCAAATTCTACGACCCATCTTTCCTCTCGTTGTTTAAAGAGGGATGGAGTAACTCTTCTGTCACAAGAACTTTTAAGAGTCTGAACGATACTAAAACACATCCAATATGCACTATTGTTTTCCAGAACTACTCAATTTCAGGCACTGGCTTAGCATTCCTATCTGGATTTCAACTGTGATGTGGAAATATGCCCAGGAAATCTGTTGAAACTACTAAATTTCCTCCTGTAGGATACTAAACTGTCTTTGGCTACAAAGGATTTCATTAATAATGAGGGCTGGAACTGCACCAGCAACAAAGGTTGAAAGTTTACTAGTTGTCAAATCTGACTCGTCCATTATGTCACAAAGCTTAAACTGTCTGGTCATCTTAAAGACAATTACCGGATTATTTATTGATAAAGCAACTGCAGTCCATTAATTGTACAGATAGGATTGAAAACTTTCCCTGGAAGAGCATTTTTTTTTTTGATTTGGAACACGGTTGTGAATTCTGTTTATTAAAATGTATACCCTCAGTATAACAGATTACTGTATTTGGAATCCATAATATATGAGGCATGGTGAAAATAAGAATAGAGATTTCATATATCTCTATACTTTTCAAACATCAGTATCTTGAAGTATTGGATTCTCTTTCAGTCATTCTTTTTGTGAAATTATGATAATCTCTAAAAGTCCACTTTGTGCAGCTCTGTGTTAAATTTTCCCTAACGATGTATTTGCATGCTCACCTTTTAAAATTGAATTTCTGATTTTATATGTCAAAAGTCAATTTTGTGTCAAGAGAATATAGGATCATACAGCAAATAGAAAATATTTTAGTTTTAGTGGGTCTATAGGTTATATATTTTCTGAGGTTTTGCAGTAAAATTTATACAACCATTGTAAAAAAAAATGCATGAAATCCATTGGTGACCACTACTTTAAAATGCAACAAGGTTGACCTATATTCAAAGCAGAACCAAATCATCGTGCTTTACAAAACTGATGGAGAGGAATTATAGATACAGCCTTGGAGTTTAAAGAGAGATTTGGGAAAATGGGGAAAGAGATAGGAGAATGCAGCTGCTGCAGTCCCCTGCTGCTCCAATTAACTCTATTTACATTTTTCCCTAAATGGCTTCTACCCTGTATTTCTTCATTAAGTCAAATAGCATGCACTTGGTACTCTTCTCAGACATTACATTCTCAGAGCTTAAGTATCTTCACAACAGATGTAGTCTTCCTGTTCCTCTTATGCATCTATGTTCAATTGCCCTGCTTGAGCCTTCATTTTAACTCTAAGCACTTTCCAGAGTGAAAATTGTATGATGTGGTCTCTGAGTTCTGTTACAACTTTGAATTTCCTGTTATTACTTTATAATTCATAGATAGCATTGCCAGTTATCATGAAGGGAAAGTGTATGAGTTCCATGTTTAATGTTATGTGCATTTGGATTGGTGTATTTCAGTGCTCCTGAGAAAATGTTTATTTTTATATTTTTCGTGATGTAATACTGTTGATTAAACTAGGTTTATTTGTGATGAATCTTGCTATTTGATTTGCTTATGGAAACAGTTTTACTTGGTATTTGAGGATTTTTTTTCAGGTTCATCTAAAATAATCAGGCTAGAGAAAAAAAGACTCTCAGTCATGCATAAATGTCATGAATTAAAGGCTCTACATTTTCTATAGAGCATCATGTCTTTGCATACCAGATGTTTGTGATAGCTTTGGAAAATAGTGTTTTTATTATTGCTGTTGTTATTTTTGGTGTTAGGCATGGCACTCAAGTCCTTGATCATTTTCCATTGGCAACAGAATTTCAGTACAGTCATGAGTTATTAGTGTCATACCTACCATAGGCAACTAAACCTGAAAATAACCCAATAAAATGCTGAAACATTATTTTGTGGCTCTTAAGAGTCTTATAGTGTTTTGACATTCAGAGCTTGCCTAGGCTTTAATGAGCATTGTTTTAAAGGCTTGCAGAGAAAGTGCAATTAATCAAACACATACCTTAAGGTTATAGGCTTTAGAGCTGTGAAGAGACCTGGGAGGAAATCTAATCCACTTCCTCATTTGAAAAGTAAGGCCTGTGCAGGCTAGATTGCTCAGTGGATAGAGCACTGGCCCCGGAGTCAGGAGAACATGAGTTCAAATTCAACCTCAGACACATGACACTTACTAGCCTTGTGACCCTGGGTGAGTCACTTAACCCCAATTGCCTTTCAGAGAGAGAGAGAGAGAGAGAAACCCGAATGACAGAAAAATGAAACGGCTTACACAGAAAGTGGCAAAGCCTTTTTGAATCTGTACCCTCGGATTCCAAAATCTAGCACTCAATCTTTACTGAAGTTTACTCCTTAGTAGAGGAGTTCTTCACATTTTTTGTGTGTGTTGTACCCCTTTGGCAGCCAGCTGAAGTCTATGGACCCCTTCTCAGAATCACATGCTTTTTCAAAAAATTATTTTTGAAGGAATTGCTCGATTTCACTTAGAAGTTGGTGAAAATAAACATGTCTTTTTCCCCCAGTGAAGTCCCCAGTCCTTCAGAAATCTATGCATAGGGACCATGTTCCCCAGGTTAAAATTCCCTACTTTAAAGAATTGATTTTCTGAGTTAATGAAGCCTTTAGGCATTGTCTAGCCCAACTCCTTTATTTTACATAGGAAGAAACTGAAGCTGAGAAAAATTAATTGATTTGCTAAGGTCACACAGACAGTAAGTAAGTAGCACGTGCAGTATTTGAACACAGGTCCTCAGTGTCCACCACCAGAGCTCTTTTCATCATATCAAGTATAATCTATCAAAAGCTATAAAAGCTAAGCTAGAGTGAAGAGGTTGATTAAGACACACATTTTAATCCATTAATTTCATTAAGTGCTACTTCATTTTGCTAGGCATATCATCATTCCTCTCTGCCTGTATTGCTAGGTTCGTGAATAGCTCTGCCCCTGAATGACACCAGCTGGTGACTAACCTGTGGATGAGCTCATTTGTGCCCCTGCTTGGGGCTTCCACTGGGACACCTGGCTCATCCCAGGGACAATTAGGCTTTCTTTTCCCCAACATAGAATAGTTAACAGGGGTCTGAATTACGAGCTAAGTACTGAATGCCATCTTAATAGGTACTTATGTTCTTATACACCAATTTGAATGGAAAGCTCTAAGCTTTTCCTAGCTACTGATGCTAATTCTTTGTTTCTTTGTTGCTTGACAATTAGACTAAAATACTCTCTAATCCAAGGATTAGTGGGGGGGGGGGGGGGGGAATCAATTCTTGCGAGGTGATGATAATAATTTCTATATAATGCTTTAGGCTTTTCCAAACACTTTCCTCATGGCAATCACATGGAATTAGTCGTAGTAGTGGCAGTAGTAGTAGTAGAAATAATAGTAGCAATAGTAGTAGCAGCAGCAGCAGTAGTAGTAACTATCATTTATGGGCAGTTAGTAGACAGAGTGCCGGGCAGGGAGTCAAGACGACTCATCTTAGTAAGTTCAAATCTGGCCTCAGACACTAGCTCCATGACCCTGGGCAAGTCACTTAACCCTGTTTGCCTCAGTTTCCTCATCTGTAAAAATGATCTGGACAAGGAAATGGCAAATCACTCGTGTAACTCTGCCAAGAAAACCCCAAATGGGGTCACGAGGAGTCAGGCACCAACTGAAACAATTGGACAATGACAAAAATGTGCCAGCAACTGTACTAAGTGCTTTACAAATATCTCAGTTGGTGACTATTCTACAGCTTCACAACTTGGAGGGCTGCTTGGGGCACTGACAAGTTAACGGACTTTCTCAGGGGCACTCCGTTGGTATAATTTGGAAACAGGATTTGAACTGAGGTCTTTCTGACTCTAAGTCCGACCTTCTCTTCCAGTTGCTTCTCACCTCACTGTTAACCTGAGAATCTTTTGTTGGGGAAGGAGCAGAAACTAGGAGGGAACAACTGCACACATCAGGTCTTTTGAGAAGACAAAGGAGTCTTGTTGCCACCTTATCCACCAATTAGAAATTGTTTATTCCTCTCTGCTGCTTCTAGAATCACTGGTGCAGAGGACATCAGCCTTGACGTTAGTTAATGCTTTTTGCTCTTGTATATTCATTCAAAGAAGGAGATGTCTGCATGGGTCTCCAGAATATCTCTTTGCTCACCCCCATCAGCCAGTCTTTTTTTAAAGATTAATAACATTGCCAATGAGGCACTGAATGGCTTTAGTGGATAAGAAGACCAGCTATGGAGTCAGGAAGATGGGTTCAAGTCCTGCTTCTGAAATACATTGGCAGCATAATCCTGAGTAGGTCACTTAACCTCCTAGTGACAACAACAACACTCTAAGGTCATGAATTACAAGTAAGTAGAAGGAGTTTCCATACTAGGGAGTTACCTACTCAGATGAAATCATGGGTCTGGATTCCCCTCCTGCCTGCAAAAAATTACTACGGTCTTTATTTTCAGCCCAGCTCCTTCCAAACTGCACCCTATAACAAATAGAGGCCATTGCAAAAGTTTTAGCAAAATTTTAAGCTTCTTGAAACACTTTTGGGATATCCTGTATTTTTCAAGAATATTTGGACTTTTTTAACAGGGACTATTAGTTTAGAACTGAAATGTGACCAGAGAGATCATTAAGTCAACCTTATTTTGCAGTTAAGGAAACTGAGGCACCAGGGATAAAGAGACCTGACCATTGTCACACAATGATTGAACTCTACTGTATGCTGTTTCCTGGTATGATTAAAGGCAGACTTATTCAGGCATCTGACTTTGGCTGCCAAGACTACCTATCAAATTCCCGAGGGCTTCAGCAGTATGATCACTCCCTGGCTTTCAGGGCAGCTGGTGCCAAATGACACCCTACAGCTTCTGGTGAAAACTAGTTTGTAACCCAGAAAACTTTGGTGCTGCTGGTAGCAGGGCAGCCAGCCCATTGAGGGTGGGGCAAGAGGAGGCACAAGGCAGGGCTGGCAGGATGGGGGAGGGGAAAACTCATGTATTTCCTCCTCCAAATGGCGTGATATGCCGGTATCATCATTAATGCTCCAAGAGGGTGCTAATTAATGCAGGCTTTTTCTTTTTTAGCTGAAAGACATAAAATATCCAAAACCTATTAAAATGTATTTTTATGGCTCAGTCCTTTACAGAAATCATACCCCACATGTGCAACCCCCAAAGACACAAAATCAAAACTCCAAGGAGCATCCGGGACTATCTAATTTAGGAGAAAATGAGGAAGTTGAACAAAAATAAAACTTTGCCCAGGCATGATAGTCTTTGGAAACAATAAAAATGTTAACAGAACCAGAGCTCAATGACATTTTGTTGTAAAACCATTCTGTAAGCAAGCAGAAAGGCAAAGAATACATAATTCAAGTATGTATATACATCTTTGTTTTTGTCAGAAGACGCAATTCAAATATTCCCAGGGAATTAATAAAGGACAGTTTTGAGCAGTGATGACCTTGGAGTCCAGCTGTGGAAAAGCAATGGAATTGAAGATCAAACTTCCATATTCTTCCCATACCTTCACAAGTCAATAAGCATTTATTATGTGGAATATTTCTGTACAAGAGTGGCAGTGTAGTAGAATGTAGGGACTCAAACTTTTTCATGTCTTAGACCCTTTGGCAGTCTGGCGAAGCCTATTCACCCCTTCTCCAAATACAGAAGATTACAAAGGAAAACAATTATATTGAAATAGTCATAAAAATAGCATTAAAAAAACCAAGTCCATTGGTCCCAGGTTAAGAACCCTCCGCATGAAGGATAGAAGGCTTAATGTCTCTCCTTGTAAACATAATGGCTGTGTGACCCTGGGCAAGTCACTTAACTTCTCAGTACTCTAGGTAGCTCAGTACCACTATAAGTTGCAGAGAAAGTACCAATCTGCACAGATAGAATGGGGTTTCCTCACTTGGAACTTACCTAGACCAATTAAATCACACACTCAGTCCCTATCCCCACCTAAGGACAAGTACTGTCCTAGGTTCTGGGGAAAAACAGAAAAAAAAGTGAAAATTAGTTCCTGTCCTTGGGAGATACAAAATATGAAGTAATTTCAGGAGGAATAGAGAGTTAACACAGAGAAATCAGGAAAGACTTCCTGCAGGTGTGGCACCTGGGCTGAACCTTAAAGGAAGCTCAGGATTGGAAGAGGCACTGGTGTATGTTGAGAGGATGGCGGTGGGAGCAGCCTTTCCAAATCAATGAAAGTAAAGAATGGAATGGCAAATTTAGGGACTGACATATGAACTAATTTAGCTGGAAAACAGGGTGTTTGAAGGAGAGTGAATTAGTCTGGAAAGACAGCTACTTGTGCAGAGATTTAATGTTGGTTTTAGGGAGCTGCATTTTGTCCTAGAAGCAATAGGGAGTCACTGAAAATTCTTGAACAGGGAAATAAGAAAAATGGTAAAACAAACAAACAAATAAACAAACAAACAAACAAACAAATGAATAAATGAATGAATGAATAAAACCTATGCTGTGGTGAAATCATTTTAGCAGCTGTGAATAGGATGAATTGGAGAAGGAAGAGAATGGAAATTGGGGGACCAGTGAAGAGGCAATTTCTATAATCAGGGCAAGAAATGATGAGAGCCTTAATTAAGGTGGTTGCTATGTGAATGGAGAGATGAAGATGGATAGAGAGGATAGGAGTTTGTGGGAGTGGACTCCAAACTGATAACTGATCGGATGTTGGGGATTGGAGAAGGTGAGTAGTAGAGAATGACCCTGAGGTTGTGAGCCTCAGGCACTAGAAGGATGGTAGTACCATCGACAGAAACAGGGAATGCTCTTCCCAATGTAACTCAATATCGCTTTTCATTTTTGGAGTTCTCTTTCCTTAAGCTCACTTCACATATTAGCAAGTCTCAGCATCCATTTTCTTCTATTAGT